ATCCACGCCTCCGTTGTCATCCCGGCCCCGGAAACGGCTCTGCCAACGACGTTTGAGCCACCCTCCCGGCGGCTCCCTTGCCTGGCGCCCCGGGTTAAAATGGCTGCGCCTCTGCCAGAAAGATGGGGAAGCGAAGCGGGAGGCCTTCCGCGGATTGCCGTACTACGACTCCCAGCATCCCTCGGAGGGACCGTGCCGAGCTCTGGGAGTTGTTGATCGGCCACATCTGGAGCACTGGAGGGTCCTCCCCTCCCCGCGCCCGTTGAAAGGAAGACCGGCTGATGCGGAAAAAGAGGCGCAGATTTGCACCCAGGGACAGTTTCTCAAATTTGCACCTCTGCATGTTATTATTAGTCTATTGGCCACTTCGATGGGCCACTGAGGACCTTCTTGCTCACCTTCCTTGCGCCGCTTCACTAGGGTTCCTATATCTGTGCTGCAAAACCTCAGATGACAGCTAGATGGCAACAAGGCTAGAGGACGCTTTAGCTCTTTGCTGCCTCCTTGTGCCCCAGTTGATCTCTGCTCCTCACATCTGCTGGCTCGTTAGGATGGTGCTGCTCAAACGAAACCCCTGAGGTGGTTATCCTTAACCCTGGGTCACAAAGTGGCCAGATCCCACAGGGTTCCTTGGATTTTGAGTTATTTGTTTATTAAATTTATATTATGTTTATTTTAATGGCAATGTTATAGTACATTTATTTCAATGGCAACATTATGATGTATGTTTTCAGGTCTGGAATATGAATCAATGTGAATTGAAGCATTTACAGTATTGTCCTTTCAATATACAATGTTCATGTTCATGGTATGATTCCAGCCAATAAAAAGAGGGTATATGAGTACCAAGCCACTATTTTCTATGGTTCTTAGTAATTTCAACTTTTTTTCTAAGCAGTATTCTGTTGTGCTAACAGTAGTAATTAATTACTGGATTCCTGGGAATCAATCAATTAGCAATCAATTGGCAATCCATCAATCTGGAGATTTAAAGATGAATAAAATGAGACTCAGAAAGGAATTGCTGTTCCTCCACGTGGCATTAAAACATAGGATAAAATCTTCAAGTCAGTCTTGACCTGTGTTGACTTTATGAATACATCCACATGTAGCTTTCTCAGCTTCCCAACATTTTGGGATCACCTAGCTTGCTGGGAGTCTCCCATTCAAATATGATCCAGGCCTACTTGCTGGACCAGTTTTCCTCAACTTTGTCCAGTTGAAGATTTGTGGACTTCAACTCCCAGAATTCTCCAGTGGCATGTTCCAGCCATTGACGCATTCGAGCAATCTGGGATAGCCCTGGACCTTCTTCAGGAGAGGAACAATCAGGGCCACCAAGACATTCCCCCTCATGAAAGGACCAGACTGTGAATCAGTCCTTATGATACAACTCTAAGAATTCAAATTATTTTCAACTATCTGCCATGTATGGACATTGCAGAGAGAACTTCCTTGCTTGGAACCTCAAACATCAATCACTGGAAAAGAACTGTTTCCAGATAGCACCATCAATAATGGAAAGAGGTTGCATTGTCTTCACTGCCTACAGTTCCAGTTTTGACTTAATATGCATCAGTATGTTCAGCTCCTCTCCTCCCAGTTTCCTCTGTAATTTTTACAATTTTTTTTTTTTTTTTTTTTTTTTTTTTTTGCATCTAGGAGCTGAGCAGTACAATTCATACTGGATTTCTCCTCGGTCTATCATTCTAGAAACAGTAGCACTATAACAGTGGTGGCGAATCTATGGCACGGGTGCCAGAGGCGGCACTCAGAGCCCTCTCTGTGGGCACGCGCACCATCGCCCCAGTCCTAGGCCTTCAGCTGGGTTTTATAACACTTTTTTGGTTTAGGCTTCTGCCGCCGTGTGCAAAAAAAAAAAAGATTCAATCAGTCAATTTCAACGAGGGGGGGAGGTCTTGCAAAGTTGGAACTGATTGATTGAACTTTTTAGTCCCACCCAGTCTGCCATTACCACTGCAGGCCACGCCCACCCAATGGGCCACGCCCACCCGGCACTCTACAATGCATAAATGGGTTTTGGGTTGCAGTTTGGGCACTCAGCTTCTAAAAGGTTCGCCATCACTGCAGTATAAGATAGGTTGGGTTAACCTAGGTGAGTGTTTCCCAATCTTAGCAACTTTAAGAATGTGAACTTCAGCTCCCAGAATTCCCCAGCCAACACTCCTTAAAGATGCTAAGATTGAGAAACATTCACCAAGAGACTTCTCCCAGACTGGGTTTCTAAAGCCCAGCCTAACACCTCTTTACCATTTTCTTAACCGATGAAATAAGGACAACTGATTTTAATTAGGTTGTCAAGTTTCCTGTTGGGTAGTATCATTGGCAGTTGTCCCCTTTATTGTTGGTTGGTCTATTCTTCCCACAATCCACAACCAGGAACTCGTTGAACAAGGATCAAGGGATACATAAGTTGGAGGTATGGCCTGCCAGTTGGGGGGAAAAATGAATTGAAAGAATTAATTGGTTTATCATTAGGGTAAGTTTGGTGACCTCCGTGTGTGGTTTGCACAATCCCTGGGCAAAGGATCAATGCCTGTGGGAGTGTACATCCCGTGCAACTGAGGGGCACCAAGTTCGTGGAAGACAAGGCATATGGAGTTTAATAAGGCTCTTTCAAATGCACAGAAAATAATGGTGGGGATTCATGGCAAAGCTGATTTCTAAAAAAAATACAGAGTGATTTGATTATTATTATTGTTGTCCTCTCCTAGCGACCACATTGAGAGATTTTCTCCGCGATTATGTGTCCTTTACCTGCTCCTCCGCTTTCAGGTGGGTGTGGGGTCTTAGCAGAAAAGGGGAAAGGTCTTCCTGGGCGGCCTCGAAGCTCAGATTTTCCCACTAAGTCTTCCGAATTGGAACCTAGAAAGCGGGGTCTGCAGCGATCTCCGGGCCACAGACTGCAACTAACGAAGAATAGCAACCGCGGCTGCATAAGCTTCTATGGCCGCTGAACACGGCCTGATTCCTGCCATTCGTTGCCTCGTTTTCTGGACTGTGTCCGCGAGTCGCACACAGTCTCCGCATAGTATTCATATATACCCTCTTTGCATTGTCTGGAACCCTACAGCGGGCGCAAACGTTGTATATGGTCACACGGCTCAATTGCTCTTGATTTCCCGAGGATTCGGGTGGGGGAGGCGAGTTACTCACAGGTCAGCCCGTTTGACTCTCGCGGGTCGTGTGAGAAGGACCTCAGCCCAAAATGACCTTGCTAATCCCCCCCCCCTTCGTCCTTCTGCCTTACGGCTGCTTCTTTCAACAGGTCATCGTCCGCCCAGCTTTTTCTGACCGCCCCAGCTGTTGCGGTCCTTGAAACACACACACACACACACAACACACACACACACGCACGCTCCTGTGCTGCCAAAGAGTAACGGGCTGGGAAGAAACTTTTCCTGCCCGCTTAGCGGAGACAGCAAATCGGCCAGGTGCCGCTTTCGTTCTGTCTGACCACGGTCGGACTTGTCAGCCGCTCATACTCCCTCCAGCTGCTGCAACCGCGGGGCTTTCCAAAGCAAAAGCCGCTTCCGTGATGGCACGGCCGGGCCAGTCGGAGCGAGAAGCGGTGCCTCAAAGGCCGAAGAAGAGAGCCAACTCGCTGCAGCTTCTCGCGCAGAGCTAACTTTTGCAGGCGAGTTCTGCTTTGCTCGGAAACCTCGCCCGGCCCAACGGTCGGTCGATCGATCGACCGATCGGCGCCTTTAGCTTCCAGACTTCGGAAGACAGAGCAGGGCGCGCTGCAAAAGGAGCTTTTTTTCCCCGCAGGAAACTGAGCTGGCCAGGCCCGAAGAAGGGAGAGAAACCCCGGAAAGGCTGCACTTTTAGGGAGGTGAGCTGAGCCTCGTTGGAATCGGTGGCTCTTTCTCCCGAGTTAGCGTGGCCAGGTTGTCCCGGATAAGAAGCAGGGCGAGCCAAGCACTTCTCCACCGAGTCCGGCCCTTGGTGGGTCCTTTTTCCTTCGCGCCCCTTCCCCTTTCACCCTTGGAAGCTTGCCTCGGTCTTTGCTGCCCTTCCAGATGAACCTCGCCCCCCCCCGCGCTCAAAATGCAGCGCGTGGGTGGGGTGTGCCGAAGCCCCGGCCGCTTGCCAGAAAGCACGACCACCTGCGTTAGCCCAAAGGACCCCTGCCCCGCTCAGTTGATGGGACTCCTCGAAGGGAAGAGGAAAGAGGCGAGTCAAACACCTCGCCCAGCATTTATATGTTCATAACACAAGCTCTCTCCTTCCTCTTGCTACCCCCTCCCCACCCGAGCCTCTGGAGGAAACGGGGAGTAGAGGTGCGTTTGTAAAATGACCCACGCAAACCTTTCCTCGATCCTTGCACACTTCCCTTTGTTGAATCCTAAAGCACGCCCGGGATGTTAGGCTCAGCTATGATCTACCCGGGCTCCATTTGGTCCAAACAAGGTTCTGGAGCGGGAAGGGAACAATTTTGAACTGAGCCTCTCCCCCCCCCAGGGCAGCCTCTAGAAAACCACCCTTCGTGCATTCACATCAGGTTCTCCTCTGTTAATGTCCATTTTAATGATCCGAGGTGTTTTCACCATTGCAAAAATATAGGAAAGGCTGAGCAGTTTGTCCCTGATCCCTCTTGACAATTTAGTCTTTTATTACATGAGAGTTGAACTGAACTTTCTCTTTTTTCACAAGTAGTTGGGCGCTAGCTAAATGTAGAAGCCTTTATTTAGGTTTTCTCTCACAGACCTGCCGTCCAACAAAGTTTCCAATCCTTTCGCGTTTCACCCCAAAGTAACCGGCCCCCAAGCTTTGGGAATGGAGCAGGAAGCCCTTTCTCTTGGGCAGGGCCAGACGGTGCCAGCGTTGACAGGTGTGAGCCGCGGCCAATGAGCTGCTCCAGAGCCCAGTTCAGGCCACCAATCCGGTCCGTCCTCCCGGCAGGCCAATAGGATCCTCGCCTGAACCTTGAAGGCTGCTGAATGCGCAGCTGAGGTGTCTCAGTGGCTCGCGGGGCGGTCAAGAGCGGCTGTCGCGTATCACGGCCAGCCGCGGGTTTCTTCGGCTGGGAAACGCAGAGCTGGCGCGCTCTTTGTATGAGGAGCGTCAGGGCTGCGGGAGCGGCCGTCGGATCTTCGCCCTCTGGGCTGTCGAGACGCGTGTAGCGATGATCGCCCGCCCCTTCTGAGCCGGGGAAGCGCCCGGTGTGAGTCTGGGGTCGATGGAGAAGTCCAAGAATTTCCGTATCGACGCGCTGCTGGCGGTGGATTCTCCGAAGCCGGCGGCAGCCTCGACGGCTCAGACGTCTCCGTTGGCCTTGGTCACCTCTCTGTCCGGAGGGCCTGGCAACTCCAGCAGTAGCTCCAGCTCCAGCTGCAGCCCGCCCTCCTCGGCCGAGGGTCACACGAGCGCATCATCCGAGCGCCTGCGGACCGAGAGCCCATCGCCGCCCCGCATCCTGGGCGCGCACTGCGGCTTGGTGCCCAAGCCGGGCTTCCTGACGGGTGGCGGCGCCGCTGGTGGTCCCCATCAGCACCCGCACGCCCACCCCCACGCCGCGCTGGGGCTTCAAGGCAGCGCGGCGTTGCACCCCCAGACGGCCCTTTACGGGCACCCCATGTACGGGTATCCGGCGGCGGCGGCCGCCTTGGCCTCGCAGCACACTGCCCTCTCCTATTCCTACTCCCAGGTGCAGCCTTCGCACCCGGCTGCCGACCCTCTCAAGCTCGGCGCCGGCACCTTCCAGTTGGACCAGTGGCTGCGGGCCTCCACCGCCGGGATGATCTTGCCCAAAATGCCCGACTTTAACTGTGAGTATGGCGTGAGGACTCCGCCGAACACCAGCGCTGGCCAGCGCTGTGTGGCTCGGCGGGCTTCCCCGGGCGGCTGGGGGAGTGAGACTGCTGGGAATTGTAGTCTTCCCAACGGATTTGGGGACCCAAGCTGGGAAAGGCTGCAGAATGGAGCCTCCTGGCCTGGGCTATACCTGGCTTCTGGATAAGGAAGGGGGGGGGGGATTTCCCAGAATCTGGAGAAAAGAAAAAAAAAAAAGATCCCAAGCTCGCGCTTCATGCCAAGGCAGTCCTTGGGCGCTCTAACCCTCGCTTGGGAATGCTGGGTGCCTTGCGCGTGTTGGGTGTGCGCGCGGGAGGGACATTTTTGCCTGCGCGCGTCCATCAGTTCCTCTACTGAGCAGCCCAGAGCTGCAGACCTAGAGCTCCTGGGGCTTGCCTCCCTCCTGCCTCTCCCACGCCCGCCAGAGCTCTCTACCGGTTCGTTCGCAGGGCGAGATGGAGGTGGGCGAGTCACCCCTCGCTCGCACCCCCCCGCGCCGAGCTACCTTCAGTTGTTTGCCTTCCACGTGGGCTCGGCTGCCTCTTTCATCCTTGTGAAGGGAGACGTAGTCCCCGGCCTGGGAGGGGCACGGATTGGGGCGGCCGGGAACGATGTGGGTTGTGCTGGCCTTAAGAGCCGGTCAACAGTTGGGCGGTCGGCTCGGTGAGGCTCCGGATCAAGGCGGAAAGGCAAATCTGCCCCCTAACAGCTGCTTGTACAGTAAGGAGCAAAGGGTCTGTGGAGAGGGAGGGAATTTTGTTTGCTTCTCCCACCCCCCCCCCCACCCCGCAGGAAGCAAAGGAGGGGGAGAGAGGATTTAGTTAGCATCGGGGTTTTAATCTCTTGACTAGGCACCTTCGAGAAGATTGTTACCCATACGACATTTGCAGCCACTACCCTGGTGTTCAACCGAGTTCTCTTCGGTGTGCAGTCTGTGGAACCGGAGATACATCGGAGCGCTGCACTTGGGCTGGATTCGGAAAGGCGGATTTCTGTAGTAAACGTTGGCAGCCCAGGTTTAAATCAGTCAATTACAGATTTTTTTTCCCTTAAAAAAAAATAAACCAAGATAACACCTATTAGTTTCACAATAAATTTTCCTCTAGACTGGATTGTATATACAACTAGGTCGGAGTGAGGCCTTATTTGCTTTCCTTGATATCTCTGTAAAGTAACAGTAAATATGGTTTTCTCAAGGAGCTTCCTTACTGACGTATTTTAATTGTGCTGAAAAATTCCCAGCAGGTAAGGATGATGTCCTGCCCAGATTGTCCCTATTTTATAAATGGGACCTTTTGGGAGACGGGGGGGTGGGGGGTATCGAAGGAGATAGCAAATTTCCTACCCACCTGACCCAGAGCTGCGTGAAAATCTTGGAAGCATTCAAGATAATGTTTCAAATATCGTAAGTGTAGAAATGTTTCTTCTAAATAAATCTAAATTTCAGAGTCTTTAAAAAAAAAAAAGCCGGTTAGCAAGAGGCAGGGATGTTAATAAAGGACCAGTTCTTTTCAGCCCGAATTCAGTGATTGCTGAAATCTATTTTGAATCAAATCGGTGAGCCCAAATCTATTTTGAACCAAATCGGTGAGCTTCGATCGCACTTAGATAAACAGTGTTTTAAAACTGCCCCCCCTCCCTCCGTTCTTGTTTTAAGGTAGGATGTGCAGAGTAATAAAAACGGGCTTACATTCCATAAAGGTTGGCAGACCCTCCCAAACAACCCAAATTAAATTTCGGAAAGCATCTGAATGAACTTAGACTGGTATCAATGTAACCTGAGATTCAAATCTTAGTAGTTCCCACGGGCGAATCCTCCATTTTCAAGAATGAATATATATATATATATATATATATATATATATATATATATATATATATATATATATATATATATATATATATATATATATATATTAGCTTTGTCGACCCTCGTCACAATTATGCCAATGAATCTCCGGAGGGATTGTGGCAACTCAGTGGCATTTTCATGTCAAACCGTCCTCCGGGGTCTTATAATGAAGGAGGCCCCAAGGCGGCGAGGGTCGCTTGAGCGCCGCGGAATTCCCTGCTTCGTTCCCTGGAAAAAGCAGGGAGCGGCGAGCCGAAAGGGCCCAATCCCGCCTTGCCTTGGCAGGCTTGGCTCGGGTCTTTCCCCAAAGGGTCTTTCCCCCCCCCCGCTATGAATTAATTGAAAACTAGCTCCGATTTTCCCCGCCAGCTCTCCAGCTCCCTTCGCCTCGGACGACAGGGATGCTCGCCTCGGAACACGCGTTCAGCCCAGGCTCTGAGAAGAGAGTCACATTTCCTGCTCGCGAGGAAGCCGAGAAAGGACGGAGCTCGGGAGAGGCGGGTGCGCTCCTGCAGCCTTCACTCGCTCTCCAAAGAGAGGACCGGGGCGGTGGCGAGGTTGGAAGGGGGGCTGCGGGCGGGGCAGTGGCCGAGAGGGCGCTGCAAGCGGAGAGAACTGCCTAAAGAGGCGGGTCTGGGAAATTCGCTCCCCTCCTTGCGTGAGGGAGGGGGCACTTACATTTTGTTGACTGCTTCCCTTGCTATGGGAGCCGGGGGGGGGCACTTAGCCTTTATTTTTTATTTTATTTTATTTTATTGTCAGAAGGGAAAAGAGCCCGGAATGCTGGCGGGGAATTTGGAGTTGCTTTTGAATTACACCATCCTGATTCAGGGCGAACAATTTGATTTAATGATTTGGGGCGCCCTAGCAATGCAGGGCTCGAGGTTCTTTTTCTACAGCTTCCAACTTGGATCCGCATCTCCGAAACCCCATTTAGGAAAGAAAAAAAAAAGTTCGGTTTCCTTCTTTCGAATCTAGGCAAGCAGGAAGCTTTTTGATCCACCTAAAGAGGGTCTCCATCCTAAATCCTATTAGGGATCCGTAGGGTTTGCAGTAATCTTCTCTCTTGGGTGAGCACGACATCAAGTCTGCAGGGGTCCAGGCAACGCCTAAATGGCGGCGAAGAGAGGCGAAAGCCCCCCCTTTCTTTCCTTCTAGCGAGGGTCCAGATTTTGGTTTCCTCCCCTTCTAGCCCAGCCCGGTTTCGCCTCCTCGGCTGGAGGACAAGGCAGTCCCGCGCCCCTTCCGCGCGAGGCCGTTCCCACAGGGAGCGTGTGGGGCTGAGGCTTTGCTAGTGCGGCCTCACTGGACAGTCCCAGACCCTGGCGCTCCTTGGCGAAGGGTTGGTCTGGAGACAAACGGAGATCTCCATTTATGTGTGGTGCTGGGGAGTGTCCTTCTCAAGTAGGAAAAAAGTTTACCAGATTGAGTTAAGCCTCTTTCCCACCTACTTTTCCAGTTTTTTAAACGGGACACGAATTTGGTGGAACTCGCATGAGCCGGGGTAGTGAGAAGAGGAAGTCGTTAAGGATGCACAGCGTCGGGATAGGCAGCCGGCAGGCAAGGCAGGCCACCGCGTGAGCCCGACGCCTCGCTAGCTTCCACACCTCTCCTTTGCCTTGGTTTACTAGCAGCGCCTTCAGTGCCCCGAGCTTGACGAGGCCACAAAAGCGAAGCCGCTGCCCCGAGGACGGTACAATCCAAAATATGACAAAGGGACGGTCAGGGCGAAGAAAACACGTCCTCTTAACTTCGTTTAGGATTAGGACAACCTTAAAGAACCCCGAATTGCACAGAATAGGTTTTCTCCCAGCTGGCTTTTTTTCCATCCAACACGGCTCCTCCGTTATTTCCCTGCCGCCGCCGCCGCCGCCGCCGCAGAAGTGGGGATGCAGCGCCCTCTAACGGCGCAGCGCTTCACCGCCTGCCGAGACTCACGCCCCCTTTTCGTTTCTGATCCTCTCCCGCAGCCCAAGCTCAGTCCAACCTGCTGGGCAAATGCCGGCGGCCCCGCACCGCGTTCACCAGCCAGCAGCTGCTGGAGTTGGAGCACCAGTTCAAGCTCAACAAGTACCTGTCCCGGCCGAAGCGCTTCGAGGTGGCTACGTCACTCATGCTCACCGAGACGCAGGTGGGTGTGGGTGCCTCGGACTACGGGGGGGGGGGTGAAGTAGCTCAGCAGCCTTGGCGTGATGGGAGCGCTCCTTCTCAGCCAGAAGTGTGAACCTATCCTCAGGGCTGTGTGAGAGGTGGTGGTCCACTGAGTACCCCCCCCCAACCTTTCAGCATATGAAATGAGAAAGGCGACCGTGCTTCTCATTCATAACAATCAAACAATTTCATTAAAATAAAACCCTAAAAGACATCGGAGTTCCTTCATAGATTCCTGGTTGCTGGTTCATTGGTTTCAATAGTCAAAATAAAAACAGTGGAGAAAACCAATGTATTAATGTTGAAATTGGGCGAAGCTACGGTATGAAGAGGGTGCTTAAACAGAAACAATGGCCTGAGATCACAGGGACTTTGGTTTACACAAGTTTTGTGTGTGTAGCGAAAAGAGCACAGGATGAATCTGAAGAGTGACATAAAATGGATTAACTGAAAACTTCTTTACTTTGCCTTATTCAAGGCAGTTTTCAAAATACTGTGGGCTTTGATGGCTAACTTCAAACTAGAGCAGGGGTGGGGAACCTTGGCTCTTTTATGACTCGTGGACTTCAACTCCGAGAATTTCTGAGCCAGCATAGTTGGCTCAGGAATTCTGGGAGTTGAAGTCCACGAGTCATAAAAGAGCCAAGGTTCCCCACCCCTGAACTAGAGGGTACCAATGGGGAAGGCAGCTTTAAGCAACAACTCTCATCCCACTCAGCGTAAGCAGATACAGGCTACAGCATAAAAATCCCACCAGAAGGCATGTTTGTGAGATGGTTATCAGACTGACATCATGGCAGGAAGAATCTGGACGCAAACCTTTCCTTCCAAGTTCATCAGGACAATCTACCATGTTTCCCCGAAATTAAGACCTCGTCTTATATTTATTTTGCCTCCAAAAGAGGCACTAGGTTTTAATTTCGGAGAATGTCTTACCATAGGACCATCACAACCAGGCCTCCCACACCCGACATCTGTCATGCCACTGCCTGACTTCTTCTGCGGCCGCTTGCTGCCACTTGCAGCCAGACGCCATGTGGTGCATTGCGCCATTTCTGCTTCTCCTGGCAGGACATTGCGTGACTCTTCGGGCTGTTTCCGTAGCGGAAACAGCCCAACGCACCACGTGGCCTCCTGCTACAAGCAACAGAAATGGCCCAAAGCCCCCAAACAACAGAAGTGGCCCAAAGCGCCATGTGGTGTCTTGCCAGAAGGAGCGGCAACAGCACAATACGCCACATTGTGTCAGGCCACAAGTGGTGGCAAGTAGCCGCAGAAGAAGTCAAGTAATAGCTCAAGAGGTGTCGGGGTATGGGAGGCCTGGCTGTGGTGATCCTACTGGTAAGGTAATTGGGTGAGGGGCGTATGGGGCAGCTTCACCCACCTACCTCCGCCCTAGCTTGATTTTTAGGGGTGCGCATCACCCCAAAATTAGGGCTTAATTTTGGAGTAGGGCTTATATTAGACCCATCCCCCCAAATCAAGCTAGGGCTTACTATCAGGCTGGGTCTAACTTTTGGGGAAACATGGTACTTTGTTCCACACCAGGGGTCTTCAAACTTGGCCCTTTTATGACTTGTGGACTTTAACTCCCAGAATTCCTCAGCCAGCGGGCCTGGCTGAGGAATTCTGGGAGTTGAACTCCACAAGTCATAAAAGGGCCAAGTTTGAAGACCCCTGTTCCACACCATAGCTTAAGCTTTGCTCACTGCGTTGTTTTGGCCATTTATTTTTAAAGAACATAAGACTCTTTCACTTGCCTAGTTCCATTGTTTCCTTCTCCTTTGCAAACTTTCCAGAAGCTGAAATCTCATTTCTGGTTCTGGGATTTTCGAATGGTATGTAAACATTATTGCCAATCTCTGATTAATCAAATGGGCCTGAATTTAGCTTTCTTGCTGGGCAATCTTTCCACAACTGATTTCTTTAAATATTCACACCCAATTTCCCTCTTTCTGCTTCCCACCATAATATCCATTCTAAACAAAGGTAAGCAAACAGAAAACAACTAAGGAGAAACAAAACGGAGAGGAAGGAAAATAGACAGGACCCACATTGGATTGCTGTGTGCATTTAAAAAAAAAGAAAAGGGGAACACAAGTGTAACATTTCAGTTCTGGAGTAAAGCGAAGTCTAAACAGAAGGAAGAAAAGGTGAAGTATTTGATTTAGGTTCTGGAGAATCAGTTGCTTAAATTTAACAAGTCTGATAGAGGACACACAAACATAAACACCTGAATACAGGAGAAACTTCATATCTGCTTTATAAGGGGGGTCTGACTGCCCTGCCATGTGATTTACAAACTTTAGAGCAGGAAACTCTATATCTCAGGATATATCTACCACATTCTATCAGTTACAGCCAGCATCACAACTGGCAGTGACTCCAGTCACCGGTTTTAGCATTGACAAAACTGGGCTCACAAATTTCAGTAAACCATCCTACAACCTAGCACAGTGGTTCTCAACCTTTTTAATGCCGCGACCCCCAACCGGTCGTAAGTCGAGGACTACCCAACCGGTCATAAGTTGAGGACTACCCAACCGGTCGTAAGTCGAGGACTACCCAACCGGTCGTAAGTCGAGGACTACCCAACTGGTCGTAAGTCGAGGACTTTCCCTGCCCGAGAGCGCCGCGCATGCGTGGTGCCGCCCCCTGCGCCGGCCAAGGCGTAGCTGGCAAGCGGCAGAGACGGCACAGGCTGACCACTGGCTGGGCCACCAGCTGGCCCAGCCCAAGGGAGGTGAGGCACCCGCCGGGCCCCACGTGCGCCAGCAACCCTCCCTGCGCCCGCCGGCCTCCCACCTCCCACCCCTGGCCCTCTTTTACTTACATTTTTAGTAGTTGCTCAGTAGGGAGGGGTGGAAGCTTCCAGACAGCTCACCTTTGCTGCAGACAACTTGCAGCACCATTTGCAGAATGGGACTTTTGGCGGGCTCAGCAGGGCAGAGACAGCCTGGACAATTCCTATTGGCTTTTGAAAGCCAATAGAATTAGACTCTATTCAAAAAAGTCTATTCTACTGGCTTTCAAAAACCAATAGAATAAAACGGAGTAGCACAGCTAAGGAAAAGGGAAAAAAAATGGCGGACTGCATTGTTTGGCGACCCCTGTGAAATGGTCGTTCGACCCCAAATGGGGTTGCAACCCACAGGCTGAGAACCGCTGACCTAACAGGATGTGAGAACTGACGCATTGTCCTTTCTAAATCATGTTGTAGCTAGTTCAACTGAAGAGAAGAAGCTCAGGGCTGAAGTGTGGAATTCTTGCTGTTTTTTTGAGCTTGGTTGTTTGGAGACATTTCATTATCCAACTTGGTAATATCATCATCAACCAACCAGCTCAAAGAGCACCAAGGACTCCACAGTTATTAGTTAGTGTAAATCAAGTAATAATACCTTGAAACCCAAGTGAAAACAACCATGGTTTAGGGCAGGGGTAGGCAACCTTGGCTCTTTTATGACTCGTGGACTTCAACTCCCAGAATTCCTGAGCCAGCTATGCTGAGGGCAAAGGGAGAGGTTCCCAAGCTGAGCCATGCTGGCTCAGGAATTCTGGGAGTTGAAGTTCACGAGTCATAAAAGAGCCAAGGTTGCCTACCTCTGGTTTAGGGCAAGGCATGAGCCCAGAGACAATCCCATTCAAAGCGTGGCATTCAATTAGTCTTGGTCTGATTCATTTCCTTTTGAAATGGTATCCCTGATCAAGTTCTGATTGCAAATCTAGAACTGGTTCATCCAGCACGCAGAATAGCTGCACCAATGTCAAAGTGATGATACACATGTGATAATGTCATAAGGTAAATGCTGCTTTGATGTATGTTCACTTTGAATGCAAGTATTGTGCCCAAACCACAGTAGCCCCATAGTGAGGTAGGAGGCAAATACATTTAACCAATAAATAATGAAATAAAATATCGTTCCATTCCTGGTGGATTCATGTGATGCCAGCCTAAACCAAACCACCAGGATATTAGATCCCAGCCACTCTGGTTTGACTCACTCAACCACGGTGGAAGAAACCATGTCTTTAATGGTGTATGAGCCCAGTCTGCTTCCCCTCCTTTCTGTAGGTGAAGATCTGGTTTCAGAACCGACGTATGAAATGGAAACGGAGCAAGAAGGCCAAAGAGCAGGCAGTCCAAGAAGCTGAGAAACAGAAGGGTGGAAATGCTGAGCAGGACAAGGGGGCAGAGGAGGGGCAGCTGCTGTCAGGGGGGGCTGAAAAGAGCAATGGGAGCCGCCGCCTGCGGGGACTCAGAGACAATGAGCCAGAAGAAGAAGAGGAGGAAGAAGAAGAAGAAGAGGAGGAGGAGGAAGAGGAGGAGGAGGAAGAAGAAGAAGAGCAACATTCTGGACATTGCTGCCCCTACACTTCTCCTGACTGTTCTGATAAGGATGACGGTGGGAAGCAGCCCCAAAGCAGACATGGGGGGGCCAACCCACAGCTGCCCCAGGCTCAAATTCCTTAAACATGGAGGGGGGGGGCTTGCCACCCTGGCTGCTCTCTTTCTGCCTTGGATTCCAGGAAGAGCCAGTCCCTTTGAGGCTCTTGGTCCTTGCTGCCAAACAACCTTTTAGTGCTGCCCCTCTAGGGATTTCAGCTTCCCAAATTCCTAGCCATGCTGGCTGGGAATGATAGGGCTTGTAGTCCAGTGCATTTGGAGAGCACCAGCCCAGGGAAGGCACCTCTAAACTTAGCAGTAGTTCAGATGTTTTTTTCAGTTGTGCACTGATTCCCAAGTAGCTATCTAACTAACCTTTCCAAAATTCTGGCCCACAATCTGTCCCAGGACAATTAACTTCTCTCACATTAAAGATTATTATATGGGTGATTGTTAGGATGAATGCTGGGGGTTCCTTTGATAGAACTTATCTGTGACTTAGGGCATCCTCCATCTCAACATCTCATTTGGTTAGCCCTCCAACATCCTTTTGGTGTCTTTTAATGGGCACCGAAGGTACGTCATTTTTCAACGACTGATGGGAAGATTAAGGTGCCAGTTCTGTTATGTATAACCTGATGTAACTTCAGACTTCTCACTAACCTTTCAGCTTGCCAGCCACTGCCAAGGGTCATAAAAATTTAAAGACCTGGTCTTTACAAATGCCACTGCTATCCTCTCCCCTCTGTTCCAAGGCTTCTTTTTCTCTCTTCCACTTTCATCCTATCAATAATGGTGACATAAAGCATCATTCAAAGACTGAATCACAAGGTCAGAAAATGGCACTTGAAACTTATTTTCCCTCCTGAGGTTTGGTGTTCTTCAACTGCTATGAGAATGTTGTTATTTATTCTACAACAAGCAAGCTAAGAATTTACACAATGATGGTTGGAACCACTCAGAATCTTAGGAGGGCTTTATGGTCTTTATTTTTATATAGTGTATTTATATAAAAAATAACCTCTGCTTATGCATGCTAAGTTATTAATCTCCCACTGTCTTCACTACATGTAAAATAAACAGTTTTATACATAACCTATGAAGGTTTACTAATTTGTTTCTGTCTTTTCCAGCAAGGTAGATCATTAAGTTGGCCAACTTCTTTCCATAACTCCATAAAAAGGAAGAATTTGGAGGATAAATATTTCTTGTTTCACTTTTGGAGAGGGGAAAGAAACTGTGCTGAGAAAAATATCAGGTCTACTTGCCCAGTAAGATGTAGTATGAACACCCAATCACCTTCCATTGATCTGACAATAAAATACATTTGGAGTTGAACCAAATTGAGAAGGCTTTTTATCCCTCAAAAACATAAGTCAGAGAAATGGCCAGAAACAAATGTGATTATTGAAGAAGAAAAGCATGGTGGGCAACTTCAAGAAGATACGGAGTTTATTTATTTTATTACATTTATTATGACTGCCCATTCCAAAAAAATATACTGGCAACTCAGAGTCCTCCAGAATACAGATAGTAGTTCTATTTTGACTTTTTTGTGTCCGTTCCTCTCTTCCTTGACTTGAAGGAAGCAGCTGAACTGTTAGTGACCAAGAAAGGGAAATGAAAGACCAGGCCTCTGAAAATCTGTCTGCTGGAAATGAGAGGGCAAGATTTACTGATAGGTTAACTGAAATGGGTGGGAATTTTGAATGAATTAATAATAATAAAAATAAAATAATAATAATAAAATAAAATAATAATAATAGTAGTAGTAGTAGTAGTAGTAGTAGTAGTAGTAGTAGTAGTAGTAAAGTTGGAAGGGACCTTGAAGGTCATCTAGTCCAACCCCCTGCTCAGGCAAGAAACCCTATACATTTCGGACAAATGGCTGCCTAGTCTCTTCTTAAAAACTTCCAGTGTTGGCGCATTCACCGCTTCTGGAGGCAAGTTGTTCCACTGATTAATTGTTCTAACTGTCAGGAAGTTTCTCCTTAGTTCTAGGTTGCTTCTCTCCTTGATTAGTTTCCACCTGTTGTTTCTTGTCCTGCCTTCAGGCGTTTTGGAGAATAGCTTGACTCCCTCTCTCATCCAAGACTTTTGAGATGCTGCCTGATTCTGAAGAAAGTGCTAAGGGGACTAGTGAGACTTATGCTCCAATCAACACAGATTAAATAATCTAAACCAAAATAATTCAATGGGATCAGTCTGCCCCACTTGCTCCAGTGGAAGGGGTCTGCCGTGGAGCCCATCAGCTACGGAATTCCATCTGGCAGGGTCAAGAAGAATCTCTCTCGTTGTGATCCTCATCCTATGGAACATTCTGCCACTGCAGATGAGAACTGTTGCCAGCCTTTTGGCCTCCTAGAAGGGCATTAAAACCCGGGTTTTGCCAGTTGGCTTAAGACCCCCGGGAGGTGCCCTCTGTTGGAGGGTGGTTGATGAGGTAAGAAGAAAATCTCATCCCTTTGCCATCCGTCCCCTTGTTTTAGTTTCTTATGTATCTCTTCTTAATTTTAATTGTTCCCATATTTAACTTTTATAATGTCTATAAGCCTCACACAGTCACCTTATCGGTAAGATGGACGGAATATACATTTAATAAATAAATAAGTGGAATAAAAAAAAAGCCAGCATAAATATGGATTTGGGTTGTTCTGGGAAAACAGAGCTAGAGTTAAAGGAAAGGTTTCCTCTTTGCAAGGTTAGTAAACAAAATCTGTATGTGTGCAAAGAGATAAACAATATTTAAGTCAATTAGAGTTAGAGGGCCTTGCCTTCTATTAGGTTGTGTTCTCAGCTAACAGCTTATTTAAAATACCATTACAAAGTAACAGAATTACTCTGAAATATCAGATTCTTTAATACTCAATAACTCTCAATATTCTTATATAGATTGAAATGAATTTGCTTCCTTGTCCTAATGACGCCAGTTAAAAACTTGCTACTGCTAGAACAATTGGATTACAAAGAAGACAATTTAACATAGAATTGATTAGATTGCCCAGGAAAGAATATTAAAATGGCTTTATGAAATAAACTAGGAGGAAAGCTACAACAGAGTACTATCTGTCCCATTGCTTTTATGATATGATTATTACAAATCAGCAGGCTCTAAGTATTTAGATGGCCCCTACAGGGAAAGAATAGAATAGAATAGAATAGAATAATGAAATAATAGAATAGAATGGAATGGAATGGAATAGACTAGACTAGACTAGACTAGAATAGACTAGAATAGAATAGAATAGAATAGAATAGAATAGAAGAATGAAAGAATAGAATAGAATAGAATAGAATAGAATAGAATAGAATAGAATACTTTATTGGCCAAGTGTGATTGGACAGCATAACCTCTCAGTATACATACAATCAAGCGATAAATAATTATCATAATCATAAAATACAATCGTCATAAATCATAAGATACAACACTCAGTGATAGTCATAGGTTACTAAATAAAAGCAATCAACATAAATCATAAGAGTCAAACAACAAAATTATAGTCATAACATGGTAAAGGAATAGGTAATAGGAAAGATAAGAAGGATAATAGTAATATAGCCCTACTACATGGTCTGATATTCCCAGCTCATCCCAGGTAGTGCTGGACCATATTCAGCTCTTGTGCTGTGATTTGCAAATTATTCATTTTAATAGGGAACCTTAGGAATACAAACTGGAAAATGTGCCTAGAAGACGCACAAATGAAATGTTAAAATACAGCCCTCCACTTATTTGACTTAGCTAAGGCACAACTCTCCTTAGTGTAGGGGATTATTATTCATTGATGTAAAGAAAAACAGGATATAAAGAGTAAAAGCCATAATTTATAGGTAAATTGTATCTTTTAATTGCCTTTGATCTCTCAAAAACTTGTAGAAGAATGGCAGGATTGCTCCAAATTAGGTGTCCAGTAGCACCTTTTGGACTAGCAAATACTATTAAACTGAAAATGGTGCATTGTGTATACTCATTAAGAAGACTTGAAAAAAATGGGCAAGCAGCCTCTGTTGTGACAAGAAATTAAACATAACCTATTACTCCTTTTAAAAAAAACAACTCTTGCATCTGCATAATTAATCTGTCTTCCACTCCCCCCCCCCACATCTTTCCAGTGTAAATCCCACATCAGTTTAGCCACTCCATGCATCTGCAGCTCATGAACACTTTCATTTAAGAAAAGTGTGTTACTTGAAAAGGTGCTGCTGGATTCCTGATCTTTGATTACTTGAAAACTCCCCAGAATGTCTCAAGAATGCTTTCAGCACTCCAGAGTCCTAGGGCAGTATTTTACCTGGGGCAAACCAAAGACCATTTTCTGATCCTTATTTTAATGGACAGATTAAAATTTATTTTCCATAACAGAGAACCTAATAAAAAAATGGGAAAAATTTCTACCAAAATTTCTACACTTTCGCTTTCTAAATCTTTCCACACCTTACCAGGTGTTTCCAGAATGAGGGAACTAAACCAACAACCCCCAGGCTGCCCCACAGTGAACCTGCTTCAGAAAAGTGTAAAGAGAGATTTATTTGGCTTGTGGGTGTGTGAACTATTTGGGGAGGAAAGGGGTCATCTAGAGGTTGTGTTGATAGAAGAAAGTCAATCTTTTTCCAGGAGATGTGCTCTTCCTTAGCAGTTAAAAGAAGCCAGGAAACATTTTCATTCCCAAGTCTTACAATTCAGTGGTAGAGGGGATGCTGAGAAATTTGATTTATCCATGATGGCCAATGGAATCTGGATTGGCAAGATAGTGGGTGGATTTAAGTGTCACTCTAAACCATAATTTATCTGTGTTTAGTAGACTGCATTTGGCCAGATTTGCAAAAAACAAAACAAAAAACAAAACAAAACAAAAAAAACCACCAGAAAATATACTGGCTGTATTTCCACAACCCATTTTCCCTTACTTAACTTAAAAGTGGTTTACCCAACCCAGTTTTCTCAATTTGCATGTTATAGTGACCTGTAACATTTTCACACAGCAAGCCAAGCATATGTAGGCAAAGCTGATTCACATTTAATGTATTCTGTGAACACAGATATGAATCGGTTTGCGAGTGCCTGTCCTGTTATTGTATCCCTTTATCATGAGTTGCTAAACATTAAAAATGTCAGCAACAGAATTTTAGACTACACAGTTTAACCACAACATTTATTAGGGAATAAAATGGTGTTATGTATGCATGCTGATTTGCTGAAGTTTGTGATTTTGCAAACCAGATGGACTATACCAACACTTACTCGCAAGATATTATAAGTAAGAAAGCATAGTTAATCAGTATGGTCTATTATGTTAACCTACTACCAAGACTTGTAATTTGTGCTTTCTCATTTACTGATCTTGAAATGTGAATGTAGCCCGTTGTGAAAAATATTCTCCCTTTTCTATTCCTACACTTGGAAATGACCAGATGCTTTCCCACCATTGCCTTATATGAGGAAATTTATGGCTTCTAGAAGACTTCTAGAAATCCCTAAGCCAGCAGATAATAATGAGAAATGCCAGGGCTCCTTGTTCAGCAACATGTTACGTGTGCCTATGCGTGAATGACAGGCTCCCCACTTCTACTTCAGTTCTTTGATTTGCAATAAAGTGCAGAGAATAGTCTGAGAAACATCATTTACACCCTCAGTTTACTCAAGGGTTAATGCATGATATATAGTATACCTTCCCACCTGGACCTATTCATTTCCCTTTCGCATTTACTCAAGGGACACTTAACCTGCCACTACCTTTGCTTATGGTGCAACCAGACAAAAGAAGAGGGGGGGGGGAACTTTCCTTCCTTTGGATCTGGGTGTTCAGGAGCTACTACCCATCCATAAACAGAGGGCCTTGATTTACCACTGAAGCGCCATTTATTTTGGTTTACTCAGCTGGAGGGGAATAAAGGTCCTTATCTTGATACAGCCCCAGCTGGGCCCTAAAGGCATCTTTCTGCCAGCAAACAAGGCCTGCCAGGCAAAACCTCTCTCCCAGGGGTCAGAGGGGCATTCCCTGTGTCCGTGGGACCAAGGGGAGTTGAAAGAGCCATTAAAGTAAAGCTGTGTCCATCCTACTTTCTTCAGATATTTTGGAGTTCCAATTCCTGGGTGACTGGCTATTTAGGAAATGTAGGCCCTGACACATCATTTCATTTCTATTCCTATGGTGTGTGTGTGTGTGTGCGTATGAGGGGGCTATGTAAGCTTTCTGAATGCACAGGCTTTGGGGATCTGAGTTTTATCTGACAAATCTTCCAGAAGAATTCCAAGATCTACACATATTTCAAATTATGGAAGTACTTGAGATCAACATCGGATCCCTGCAACCACATAGTATTTTTGGCAGCATTACAGGACTGATTTGGGAACATGAGGCCCATCCATCTCACACACCAACTGCATATTGGAAGCCCATAAATTGGAAATCAACGTTTCTGTCCCCTCCTACAGCTGCTAGTTCAAGGACTATGCAGGAGACACTACCTCTATACTTGGAGATGTCACAGCTATCAGTGTACTTGTCTTTTCGGAAGCTATGTATTCCTCTTCTGAAATCATCTAATCATGTTCTTCACTCAGGATATTTAAAAACCTATACGTTCTATTGCCTGAAAAAAGTCTGAAAACCACTGCTGTATTCCATTACAAATGGTTAAGCAAAGAGGCAGCTATCTTGATACATACCTTTTATCTACATTTATAAGCAGTTGTGAGTTTCTACAAAACACAAGCCCACAAAACAATTATACTGAAGTAGGGTGCAATGAACAACTTCATCAATCTCTTCAGGAAAAAAAAAATAAAACTAACCAAGAACCCTGTTAATACTTACATGAGACCAATTTGGCCAACTGCCTTAGAATTTCCTGATGTAACTGGCAGAAGGAATGCCCTTGAAAGACAATTGTCAGATAAAATAAGCCTCAGAACTGTATCTTGAGACTTAGGCAAGGCCTCAGATACATAAAATTTATCTTGTGGAGTTTAGGAATTGCAAAATTCGGCTACTATAACCCAACTTTGGGCACTTGAAGATGTATAGAGTTTAACTCCCAGAATGCTGCAGTATGCAAGTTGGCTGGAAAACTCTGGGAGTTGAAGGCCACTTATCTTCAAGTGGCCAAGATTGGGAAGCACTGCTATAATCTTGTAATAAAAGTGGTATTAGTCTGCATGACTGGCTTTCTAGCTGGGTATAACCTGAAGAACTGACAGTGCTTTGAATGTGAATGAAAGAACAAAATTGGTGGCATTTCCCACCATTCGAGGATGCTTAACAATTTCCATGCTGTTTTTGATACTGATCTCTTTGATTAAATGACCCAGGCTAAATTTAGATAGCGATGAGGCCGGAAGTTATAATTTTTCTACATTACTTCCAGAGATTTTTTTTTTTTGATTTAGGAGAATTGGCAAACAAATGGAACACCAGAAGTAATATTTTTTTGCTAAAAAGTTGACATTTGAGTCAAAATAGGAAGGAAGAAAAAGAATTGTAAAAAAGACTGTGATGAAGAATGACATGAACTGGAGAGGGGAGAATTACTAGTATAAATAAGTTATGTTAGTGTTGAATCAGTAATATAAAATTATGTATTATTTTTATTAAAGCATGACATTCCCATTTACTGTTTGTACAAGATACATCTTTAAATCACACAGAATGGTAATTTAGCAAAACAGTGGGGAATTTAAGTTTCTGCATTACAAACAAGATAAAAAGAGCAAGATAAAAATTTACAAAAAGAATAAAATGGGATAAGAAATATGAAATTAACTTGGCCATGTTTACTATAATGTATAAATCCCATTCAATGCTCTATGTGTACTTTAAAAGAGGTTCACAGAAAATATCAAGGTATGTTTGAAATAAAATTTATTTTTTTGCTCAAAATCTCCCAATGTTCATTGGTGATTTTGTTTTGTCTTTTAATAAAATCCCTGATTATTTAAAAAGCATTTATATGTGCATATATTGCTAAATATATGCATATAAATCTGAATATAAAAGAATCTACGTAAATCTATATAAAACAATGACATCTGTATAGCCTATGCCACCACATTCCCCAAATATTTTCTTTTTTTTTTCCCATAAAGAAATCTCTATAATATTCTTGATATTATAATTTCAATTTTGATTCTTTTGCTTTCAGTGTTTTAGTTACTAGATCAATTTTCTCTCTCAGTAAAGCACCCTCTTTAACATCTGTGTGAGCTTGAATATTTTTCATCAAGAAATGGGTAAGAAAAAGCTTCAAGCCTTCATGTAGCATCCCCAGCTTGGGATTGTCAGACAACCTAGAAAATAAGAAAACTGTGGTTTAAACAATTTGCATTTTCTTTTAGACAATAATGTAACATCACAGTGGCTAAGGTACTGGGCTGGAAAGCAAGAGACCATGAGTTCAAGTCCTGCCTTAGCCATGAAAGCCAGCTGGGTGACTTTGGGCCAGGCGTTCTCTTTCAGCCCAACCCACTTCTACAGACTTGTTATTGTGAGAAAAACAGGAGGAGGAAGATGTGTTGGATATGTTCTCTGCCTTGAGTTATTTGTAAAAATAATAAAGGTGGGATACATATAAATAAAATATACAATAATAAAAAGCAATACAGGCAGTCCTCGACTTATAACAGTTCAATTAGTGACTGGTCAAAGTTAAAATGGCACTGAAAAAAATGATTTATGACTGTTTTTCACACTTATGACTGTTCTAGCTTCCCTGAGGACATATGATCAAAATTCGGCAACTTGGCTACTGGGTGTGACGGACACTGTGTCCCAGGGTCATGTGATCCCCTTTTGTGACCTTCTGACAAGCAAAGGAAATGGGGGAAGCCAGATTCACTTAACAACTGCAGTAATTCACTTAACAACTGAAGCAAGAAAGGTCATAAAATGGGGTAAAATTCACTTAACAAAAGAAATTTTGGGCTCAATTGTGGTTGTAAATCGAAGACTACTTGTATTAGATGAACAAGATTTACACAGGTAGTCCTTGACTTATGACAGCTGGGACCAGAATTTCCGGTGCTAAGCAAGGAGGTTGTTAAATGAGTTGTGCCCAATTTTACTTTTTGTGCGACAATTGTTAAGTGAGTCTTGAAGCCAATCCAGCTTCCCCCTTTGACTCTGTTAGTTGAAAGCCTGCTGGGAAATGGCAAAATCACGTGACCCTGGGATGCTTCAAGCTTCGTAAATACATGTTGGTTGCCAAACGCCTGAATATGGATCAAGTGTTTATAGAGATGCCGTAGTGGTTTTAATTGTGAAGACCGGTCATAAGGCTTTTTTTTTTTCCCCCAGTGCCAGAGTAGCTTTGCACAGTTGCTCAGCAAAAGAGTGTAAGTTGAAGGCTACCCATGTCACTCTTTTGCGGGTTAAGCTACTAAACGCTTCCATGGGCTCAATGGAAGAACTGAGATGCTTTGAACTCTTGATACAAGGTGCAGGCAGAACTATTAATTAATTTAAAAGCAAGCTAACAAACAAATTCCCATTTCTAATTATAAAAATGGCTAGATTGCAGGGGTAGGTAACTTTGGCTCTTTTATGACTAATGGACTTCAACTCCCAGAATTCCTGAGCCAACCAGAATTGCTGGCTCAGGAATTCTGGGAGTTGAAGTCCATGAGTCATAAAAGAGCCAAGGTTGCCTACCCCTGGGCTAGAGAATTCGTACTTGGAATACTTGAAAAGACTTACTTTTCAAATATATAGTTGAGATCTTCTTGTTCCGTTTTTAGGAATAATGCAGATAACACCTGGCGCAGAAAGTGAACTTTTGGCTTATCTAAGTCACTGAATTCAATCACCTAATTGAACAGAAAGGGAAGATCAGATCAAAGCAAATCCTCTCATTAGGTCTGTCTGTTTTTCGGAAATGATCTGGATGATGGCTTTGCGTGAAGACAAGGCCTCTCTACTAGTTACTAGATCAGCCAGATTCTTCCCAGGCTCAGCAGAGAAGGTGCTGTGCTTGCATGAGGTCCTACTGTCAATTTATCAAACTGTTTTCAAAATACTATCACTTAGTGTGATATACTGTACATCTGATGTACATTAACGAAAAAGAAAAGTCAGCAGTATTTCCCTAAGCTGGCTTCAATTGCTTGAACGTATCGCAAGAGTTTAATGTGTAATCATAACTCCATCATAAAAAAACTGACTCACACATAACTTCCAAGAATGTGATAGAATTTTCATTAACTAATGAACAGCCATTTACGTAAACCTTAAAGTTATTACACTCCATTAGTCAGTGCAGGTAATCCTTGACTTACAACCACAATTGTTGAGAGAAGCAGTCTTTAAGGGAGATGTCATCTGGGCTGGCTTTGCTCATTGACCACAATCCTGATACTCCCCACTGCATTTCTTAAATGGTCTCACAATTTATTTATTTATAAAATTTATACACAACCCATTTTATCTCAAGGTAATTCTGGGTGGCTTTCAATCACAAAAAATAAAAAATAAACTAAAAACATAAATACGTTAATATCAAATCTAAACACTACGACTCAATTAAAAGATGGGGAGGACAGGAGCAGGATGGGAAGGGAGATGGGATCTGTTGTTAATCGATCAACCAGTTCTACTGTAATAACAATGGAGTTGGAAGGGACCTTGGGGGTCTTCTAGTCCAATCCTCTGCTCAGGCAGGAAACCCTATACCAGGGGTAGGCAACCTTGGCTCTCTTATGACTCGTGAACTTCAACTCCCAGAATTCCTGAGCCAGCCATGCTGAAGGGAAAGAGAGAGTTTCCAAGCTGAGCCATGTTGGCTCAGGAATTCTGGGAGTTGAAGTCCACAAAGAGCCAAGATGGCCTACCCCAGCCTATACCATTTCAGACAAGTGGATGTCCAACCTCTTCTTAAAAATCTCCAGTGTTGGAGCAGTCACAGCTTTTGGAGGCAGGTTGTGAGGCTCCTCCACTGGAGCACCAAGCTTACCAGCAGGGAGAGCGCTTTAGGCTCTTGCGGAAGGTCATCTCTTGTGGTTTTTACTGCCAGCTGGAATAACCAGATTGTTAATGGAAAGACTCCCACGTAAGGAGCAGGAGGGTGCTTAGTAGAGAGGGGGAGACCGTAGGAGGCCTGGCACAAGCCCCAGATGTCTCTCTGCTCAGGGGCTGAAAACCTTTCCTGACAAAATCCAAGCAGGACTGGCCTGTGGCATGTGCCAGGCCTCTTAGGGCCTTGCCCAGGGACTAGGGCACCTGGCACGCCTTATCTTACCACTACCTCTCTGCTCTGCTCCTTTTTTTCAAATCCAGGCATGTTAATCTTTTGCATGCGTGATTGTGTAGAAGTGAGGGAATTTGGTAGAATAAGTTTGAAAAGGAATCTGGAATAGTGCTTTACAGGTCACAAAGCTCCCTTTTTGAGTTTATTGTGACCTTGAACGGTCATTAAGTGACCGGTCATAAATTAAGGACTACAATGCGGAATGGAAACTAGCACAAAAAAAAGTGCTGATATTTTTCCTTGGGATTTAACGAGTCATCTATTCTGCTTTGACAGGAGGAATTACAGAGAAAACCACACCTGCACTACGCATGAGCCTAAGAGCTGTAAACAATTTTAAAAATAATTTTATTTACCTTGAAGACTGTGAGAGAGAGTGATTTAGTCTTTAGCAGGTGAGTCACAAGATGAACTAAGTTGGAGAAAGCGGCAGTTGATAGGCTTCCTAAATTTCTGATTTTGTCCCAAATACAGAACTGGAATGTGACCTAATTCACAAAATAAAAGCAGGAAGCATTATGACAAAACAATATTTCACCATGTCCCCAAAGAGCACATCTAGAAGGATGTGTGGGACTGGAAGACCACCAAGGCCCCTTCCATCTCCGTTATTCTGTTATCTTTTATTTCACAGTTAAGCTAATATGATAAAAGTTGCCACTGAAGGCAATCTTTCATGAGGAGAGTCAAGTCCTTCCAGCCACTATAAGGCCCATGAGTGACCATTGCTTCTGAGTGCAGATCAAAGTGCTGATGATCATAGATAAAACCCTCTATGCACAGGGCTTGGATTTATGCAGGACTATCTCTTCCCCAATTCTTCATGCCTGTGCAATAATATCTCACAGGTTTTGTGTGCTTCAAGTCCCGTCAATTAAAGAATGCCACTTTATGGGACTCAGCAGGCATGCCCCACGAAACAGTATCCCTCCTGAGGCTTCCATAGCCCCGATCCTGTTAGCTTTCAGGAGCTTAAGACCTCAGCTGCCTCTGATTTAGATTTATTTGTAGTCCTGTCATGCACTAGCAATGGTTTAATACTGTAGATCTAATTTGGTCCTCCAAACAGGGGTTTTTAGATGATTTAAAGATGGTGTCAATTATCTGCAGGCTACCTAAAATCACCAATAAGTGTCTAGCTCTAAAAACCAAATAAATAAAACAAATGAATCACAGTATGGGAGAGATCTCTTCCATTCCCAAGCACTTGCCAGAACCACCTACTAAAAACAGGAGACAGCTGTTTATTTTTGAATAGAAAGGATTCAACAGCATCAAGGGGAAGAAATTGGCTTTGTAGCTCTCCCTAATCTCAGATTATACTCTATTTTTCAGAAGGCTGAAACAGAGGCGAGAACACAAACTACCTTTCCTTCCTTTATAACAGTGGTGGCGAACCTATGGCATGTGTGCCAATTGCTTCCAGAAATTCATGATCTAAAATAAATATTCTATTCTCAGAATGTCAACTACTGTATAACTGGCTAAAAAATAAAACATGCTTTTCACTCACCTGAAATCGCCTTTCGTATTCACAGAACTTGGCAGATAAATATGCGTAGAAGGGATTGTAAGTCTTCTCTTGCAGGCAACAGTCTATGAGGATATGGACTATCTCTCTCTCCTGTTGATCTTTAAGCTTAAGCCTAATGCATAAATTGTCACAATAAAAATCTTGTTTGCTGAACTTACATAGAAATATTCTAAACATAGTTTTGCCAGCCTAAGAATATTATAATTTGTCCCTTCTAGAACAGTTTAGATCAATCTAGTATAGTGTTGATCAAACCTGGCAACTTTTTGCAGCCCAGAATTCTTTAATTAATATATAGAGAATTCTGGGAACTGAAATCCATGCCTTTTAAAGTTGAAGTCCACACACCTTAAAGTTGCCTAGTTTGAAAAACCCCAACTTATCTATGAGATATTTCTATTTTATTCTTCTCCATCTGGGTAATTTTTGATGTGTTGGATTTCATCTTCCACCAGGAATTCCTCTAATTGAGGAAGATTTTTGTATATATGCTTAAAAAATGCATTGCTGAAGGTTGGCTAGAAGTGGGTTCAAAGTTCATAATAACTGAAGTAAGAATGCAAGGGTTATAGGAAAGAGTCTAGTTTGCATTTATATTTAAATACTCTGGCAATCAAAAGAACTCAAGAAAAAGCTCCCTTTAATTTCCAGATTAATAATAATCACTCTGACACCCGAAAAAAGAAGTTACTAGTGGCAGTTATCAAAGAGAAACTATCTTCCAAGTTTTTCTAATTCCTAATTGAGGGTGTTGGGAATCTCAATCCAACTAATTATATAAATATAATCAGCATTAATGAGACCTCACTGGCTGTCTCAGCAGAAAGTCTGGCAAGAGTGAATCATATTTCTTCTCACAGAGCTGGATCACAAAAGAAAATCAGGAACAATTGGCAGAAAAAAGTCTTAACTTGGGCAGTACCTGTTCTGTCCAAAGAAGCCTGATTTAGCCTTCCTGTCAAAGGCTTGGCAGTAATAAAATAAATTAAAATGAAAAACTCTTAATACTACAATGCAAGAGTGTAAAATGCACAAATACTTGCATCATTTTATTTTTTACTCTAGTTTTGAGATGAACTACCTAACTCTTTTGTTAGGACATAAGTGCTCTATTTTGTTCCAAGCTATGTTTCAGTTAGATCAACTAAGTAAAATTTGCAATTTAGACAAATAATGCCATAGAAAATTCCCTGGGAGAGTATCAGCCCCAAAAATAAAAAAAATAAAAAAAAAGTGCAATTAACTTCTAAAGATGCTGAAAATATATATAACTAGGTGTATAATCATGTCAAAAATCTCAATTCTCAATATATAAATATATATGCAATTAGTATTTTGTGTCTTTTACTACTAAACAAATTACCAAAGCTATTTGGTTAGTGGCTTAATTTATCTGTAGCTGAAGACTCAATTTCTTTATTCAGCAGAAACTTCACAGTTCTTACATAATAACACATTTAATAATGCTTTGCCTCTTAATCTATGGATCCCCTAGATATATTTGTGTATATTTCTTAACCATAAGCAAGTCCTCACATATGTAGTATATAAATATCAAAACTGGCCTAGCTGATCCACAAAAAGAGGATTTAGCTTAGCAGTTCTTAGGAGAAAACTCAGATTTCAGTCTCGCCTAAGCCTATTGTTAGCAAGATTGCTCCTTGTCTCTTATTCTGTTTCTTTGTCTCAAGCAGAAGAAATCCTATTTTGTCTATTTTTTTGCAGCCGTTATGGGGGTAGACTTTGTTTGCATTCCTGAAAATATCTTCATCTGCCCTAATGAATACAGACTTACTTCAAAAGTTTTTCAAAGGCATCCCAAAAATCTTCACTTGTCATCAAGATACAAAATATATTTCTTCTGATATCAGTATTCATTCTCTGCTTACGAGCGAGTTTCAGAATCTTTGAGCTTACCTGAAGGGTTAAGAATGAAATATTATAGTAAATTATTAATATTTTAAAAAAATCATGCCTTCAATGCTTTAGGTAAATAAAGAGCAGAAGCAAAGTTAACAGAGAGTCTGATGTGTCATTAACTTCTCCCAAGCTATGTATTATATAGTAAAGTAGGTCTAGATAGGAGTTTTTGAAAAACAGCTCCAGGCATGTGCAAAATACTTTTCTGGGAATGAAATATTCTTCAGAATTGCAGAACATGCTAATTTTTCTCCAGCCCATGTTGATATAATCATTCTGGGGGTGAAATAGAATGTAGGTTTTGCATATCTGTAGTAAACACAAAAACTGGATTCATGCGTCATCTTAAATCATAATGTGATTTACTTGGTTGTCTTTGAGTTAGGTGTTGTCAACCAATCATGGCTAAGTCTTCTCTAGTATGCTGGTAATGGTGTTTCCAGTCAGATTGGTTGATTGTTTGATTTAGAAAATTTTTAGAAAATTTATATATAGCTGTCTAACTCACAGTGATTCCAGGCATTTTTCCGAAATATAATTATTTCAGATTATTGCTGACCATTGTGTGGGCACTGAATAAGTACAGCTGCTTGCTGTTTAGCATTTGGATTTGGAAGGAAAGCAAAAAGGGAGATTTTTTAAAAAAAGAATTAAAAATAGGAAGATCCTGCTCATTCTTCCAACAATGTAAGAATACAATATTTTGTACTTCAATTACCGCTAAACACAATTTGGAACAAATCAATTTCCAAGCAACTCTACCACCATCATATTCATTCATGTTAATAAAAAAAAAACTTACCAGAAGAAAGCATACTGAATTGAGAAACTATTTAAATCTTACTGCTAGAAAAATATTAGGGTACCATTACCTTTCCCACAGGCAATATTTGTTCAGTTTTGCTGCTAGTGCTGTCAATCATTGGAGCGCCACTCCAAGAGGACCCAACAATCCACCAGCGACCGACCTGATCAGCTGTGAGGAGAGATTCCAGTGACACACGAAGCTGAGATTCTTTTCCGGAATTACTACTGTGTGTCTGAAGGGGGAAAAAAATGTTTACACCAACCCTTTTCTTTTTTTGAAAAGATATTTATATTGAAAGACTGGTCAGTATGATTACTGTTCATCTTTCCTATATTCAAATATAACCAAAAATCCAAGAGTATGTTTTATTTGACAACGGGCTGTTTTTAAATGTAACAAACCTATCAGTCAATTTTTCTCCTGCAAACTTAAATTTTGCTACAGTTTTATATTAATAGGTTCAAAATCTACATAATATTAACAGTTCGTATTATTATGAGAATACAGATTTTTAAAAAGGAACAAATATTTTCTCTACTTTACCAGTGTTCTTAGCAGTTTTCGTAATTTTTCAACTGGTTCTGGGTCATAACCAGGAATTTTCCTCATGTCATTATTTTTTAGTGCCAGCATAATCTCCAACATAAAGCAAACCTTTGAAAAATATAACAGGACTGCATTATTATTCCAAATACATTTTTTTTCCAATAGAGACATGAAAAAGAGACTGCAGCTAAGCCACTATTTTATACTGAACTCCATAACTCATATTAAATCTTTCCCAACAAAATAAAACATTTCACTGAGTTTCTTCTCCAGCCATTATTATTTTATTAATTTTAAAAAGTACTGTTTAGTAGGGGGATGTTCAAATCTGTCAAAAATATAGCACCCCTGAGCTGAGTTTAGTTCCTGATGACTGCATGGAAGTTATATTTTACAGTGTTTGGATGGATGTTTTTATTACTCATAACATGCCTAAGCTTAGCCTTGTTTTTATACAGTATAATCACTAAGAATTATTACTTTTAAGTAAGTTGATGTCTTTTCGATGCAGTCTTCAACTAAAAAAGGCTAACAAAACTGATCCATCTTAACAAATCTGTTGGGGAAAGACTGAAATAATGAAAATGTTGTCTTTGAAAAGCTAGGTATTTATAATGAGATGCTTATGATATTTTACACTTCCACCCATCTCATATAAATAAGTCATCCATGCCTCATCATTTGTACTACTAAAAAGAGAAATATGATCTCTTTGATTTTTGTCTACTCTCTTAACAAAATCTTTTTGTCTACTCTCTTGAAGAACACTTCATCTTGCTACTGGTCTCCCAACACACCTGGATAACAAAGAGATACAGTTTTAATATTTAATCAAAGATAGGAAATAAACCCCTTCATATGGGGGTTACTAGTAAGTACAAACTACATTTTTCCAATATAAATGCATTTAAGCTCCTGCCAAATTCTCCTCCTAATAAGAATGCTTTAAAACAATATTTCTTAACCTTGGCAAATTTAAAATATGTGGATGTCAACTTACAGAATTCCCAGCCAGCAAGTTGGCGGGGAATTCTGGGAATTGAAGTCCACATAATTTAAAGCTGCTAAGGCTGAGAAATACTGCTCTAAAAACTATTTTTTAAAACATGCATTCATACCCTTGACTGGTCCTGGAACTGTTTTTCCATTGCATTTGCTTTTTTCTGGGCCTCAGTGATAAGTTCCTTTAGTGCTAGGGCATCATCCTTCCTCAGGGAAAAGCCCACATTCTTCAGCAGCAGCAGGATCAGTTCAATATCCTTTCCAGAAAAAGTGCTAACAAGCTTTTTTAAGATGTCAAAGATCAGCAGTGAATGCACTACATAAAAATTATACAAATTAGCAATTAAAATCAGCAAGTTCTCGCACTCTTTCCCTTCGGCTTTGCTTTTGTAGACATCATCAAATTTCCTCATCACAGTTTCCAAAAAATTAGCACCGACCTGGAATAGATTTACATACATGGAAATATAAAAAAAGACTGATAAGCATTGACTGGTTAAGTATTTATTTCAAAAAGAAAACCTAAAAATATACATAACTAGTGTTGTGACCCTAAGTTGCTAACTAGCTAAACAGAAATGGCATTAGCATCGGCTTTGTAAAATTTATTAAAATTATAGTGCTAATTAGCAATATATATTAATAAAGGGAAATATTTGTAGCTCAGGGTTGAAATGAAGGGGTCCTTGGTGCTCTCTGAACTTAGTTGTTTTCTTGCAGATGTTTCATTACTCAAATTAGGTAACATCATCAGAGCAGCAATCTACTCGATTCAAATTTGTAGGATTTCCATAGATACGTTATTAAGCATTGTATAATACTATCATTGCATATGTTTTTTAACTTGAAATGCCTCACAGGAAAATATTGATGAGCTCAGGAAAGTGGGTGTACAACAGAAAAGAGGCAGGTCATTTTTTAAAATCAAGCCACAAGTATGGAAATCTGCCATAATTATGGTCACTAAATGAGAACTATCTCTATTTAATACAATTTTATTCTTATTTGCCTCTCCACTTGTCTTTAAAATAATCCTGTGAAGTAAACTGATTGCAGGATCCCCACTCAACATTTTCGGCTTTGTAACGTATCAGTTCTGTCAGCAGCAATATATTTACTTATTACTGCTGTAAGTTTCCGTAAGAGTGCTCGACACTTAAGGTAAAAGAAGGGGTTTCAATTTACAAAAGAAGAGAAATATATAAAATTAACCTTTCTTCTTCTCTTACCATATACCTTCCACTGGGACTGTTAAAAATTTAGTCAAATGGTGGAATATTGTTTTGTTAGTCTAGCTTCTTTCCAAGCATCTTTAATATTGAGAATAGAATAGAATAGGAATAGAAGAGAGGCTGGGAGGGACCTTGGAGTATAAATCAGTGTCAAAGCAGTTTTAGGGAGTAAATTATTGTTAACATAATTTAATAAATGAATTACATAAATGGGAAAAAGTGACTTTTCTATCAATATGAAAATATTCCTCTTTTCATCTTAACATTTGATGCTTAAATAACTATTCCTTGTAAACGTTTTCTTGTATATTCTGCCACTCTACTAAGCAGTATTCAAATCAGTCATATTTCAATGAGACCTTAATGGTACCAGGTACAAGATATTGTGAAATCACCAGAACATAATTAGTGCCTAATAATGGGGTTTTATAGGTAGTCCTCCACTTACAACCATTCGTTTAGAGTCACTTCAAAGTTACAACAGCACTGAAATAAGTGACTTATGACCATTTTTTACATTTACAAATGTAGCAGCATCCCCAAGGTCACATAATTAAAATTCAGACGCTTGGCAACTGAATCCTATTTATGACTGTTGCACTGTCGTGAGGTCATGTGTTCACTTTTGGTGACTTTTTGATAAGCAAAGTGAATGGAGAAGGCAGATTCACTTAACAACCTGTTACTAGCTTAACAACTGCAGTGATTCATTAACAACTATGGCAAGAAAAGTCCTAAAATGGAGCAAAACTTGCTTAAAAATTGTCTTGCTTAGTAACATAAATTTTGGGCTCAATTATGGTAGTAAGTCAAGGAGTAGATTCCCAATTTGTGTATGACAAATTAAAGAACTGTGAAGAAAAGTTACCTCGATTCCCACATTCTGATGAAGAACACTAACCAAAAGAACATGCTCCAACAGGAGCCTGGAAGGCATTGCTGATTCCAGAACACAAGCAGAGATAACAGTATCTGTTAATGTTTCATTCATATCTTTTCTGCTGTTCGTCATATACAGTTCTTCCAACTGCCCACTGATGGAGGCTAGATTTGGTTCACTCAACCTAGTGGGAGGAAAAGAGTAAAATTAAAATCTATACATTCATGTTACCATTAGCCAGTCTTACTATATACTTCCATTCCAAATACATGCCCATGGGTGTTTAAAGCATCATATTTTGATATATTTTTTTTTATTTTCCTTATTTTAATGTGTAAATATGCATTCCATCTAAATTTGGTCTTAGACATTTTTTATGTGTTTATATTTAGTCCAAAAATAAAAGAAAATCTCCTTGATATTCATTGCTTCCTGTTGCATGGCATCTTTCTGTATTCAGCCTAATACAGGCTTTTTAGCACACATTGTTTACAAATACATGATATTCTGTGTGAAATGTTTACCGTAAAAATGAAATAGGTAGTGCTTTGATTACAATCATTCATTTAATGATGGTGCTGAAAAAAATCCTCACACTTGGAATTGTCACAACTCCATTGTGGTCATGTGATCCCAATTTGGGCCCTTGGCAACTGGCTTACATTTATAACTAGTTACAATGTCCTATGGTCATGTGATTTGTTGCAATTTGCAACTGGTTTTTTTACTAGGTGTTAAGTGAATCTGGTTTTCCCCATTGACTTTGCTTGTCAGGAAGTTGCAAAAGGTGATCACATGACCCAGGACACTGCAACTATCGTAAATCTGAGTCAGTTGCCAAGCATCTGAATTCTGATCATGTCACCACAGGGATGCTGCAACGGTTGTAAGTATGAAAAACAGTCATAAGTCCTTTTTTGGTGTCATTGTAATTTCAAATGGTCACTAAACAAACTGTTGTAAGTCAACAATACTTGCACCTGTACTTGAAGGATTTAGACAAATAGATCCATATTCATAAAAAAGTAGTGTAGATGATCAAGTTTGAAACCAAGTCTTATCAAGAAAGATTAAAGAACCTGAGAAAGTTTTGCTTGTAGAAAGAAAACAGGTTAGGCTGCCATTTCCCAACTAATATAGAAGGCATTCAAGAGATTAATTTTAAAGGGAGATTCTGGTTGAAGATTAGGAAAAAAATATTTTAACTGTAAGAGCAACTTGAAAGAGAAGCAATTACCTAGAAAGGTGGAGAGCTGGATGTATTAAAGCAAAGGGTATTTATTGGGATTTATTTTGGATTTTTGTCCTGACTAGGAAATTGGATTCTATGGGCCCTTCCAACTCTATGGTTCTAAGCCAGCTCTGATAAGCTATTCAAAGAGTGAAAACAAATCAGTTATGCAAATGAGGCGAGGTCTCCATGCTTTCATGGAGTATGAAAATTAGCACAATTTCAGTATTACCTATTAATCAGACCTTTCACTGTTTTTTTTAGTCTTTCTAATTCTTCTTTCTTGTTGGAATCTATTGTTTCTTCGGGAATTCGCATCTGAGGAGGAACATACTTTCCAGCATCTTGGTTAGAATTCTATATAAAAAAAGGCAAACTTGTTTTATTAAACAAATTAATGATTACCAATGAAAATACATCTATCTTTTGTATATTATCAGCAATGAGAATGTTAGTGCACAAATCTTTTAGATAACCACTCTTATGCAATAATAACACTCCTGAACCTCAAACTAACAAAGGCAGTGACGAGAAATGTACACCTCACAATGTGTGTTCCTAAAAGATAGTTCGGCCACTGACTCAAATTGGGCTCATCCATTTTACACAGAGTTGATTACTTTATTATTGATTCCACCTTTTAAAAAATATATACCTCAAGGCACAATGGTGCGATTCAGCTGGTTTGCACCACTGAGACAGAACCGGTAGCTAACTTTTTGTTGCCTAGGCCCAGAATGGACTTGCGGAAGCAGCATCCACACAGAGAACTGGTTGTTCACATATTTGAATCCCACCACTATCAAAGCAGAAAAAGGACCTAATACTCCCATCTCATATTCTTCCTCACAACATCTCTGTAAGGTAAGTTGGGCTGAATGTGTGTGTCTGATCCAAAGCTGCTTTCATGTATGGACTAGAACCCCCAGCCACTAAATCACTGAACTAAACTGGTTCTCTACTTTGTCATTGGGGGGGGGGGCAGGAATCTTCAACAGCCATTATACCACTTCACCTCAGGCCTCCATGCTTGGCAATTCTGCTTTTCAGGCTTGGCAATATTAATATCTGTGGATTTCAATTCCAGGAATCCCCCAGCCTGTCCAGCAGCCTCTCGGCTGGCCTCCCCTTCTTTGCTTTCGCTTTCACTTCTTTCCTCCGGGCTGGAATCTCCGGAGCTTCCCATTTCACCCTCGCTGTCCTCTCCGGGGCTCAGCCGTTCTTCTTCTTCGGTCTCGCTTCCGTCTCCCTCTTCCACATCGCCATTCTCGTAGAGGTCCGAGAAAGCGGCCTCGGACTTCAGCGCGTCCAGCACGAAGTCCAGCCCGTCCCGGGCGAAGCTTTGCGGCAAGGATGCTGCCTCCTCCGCTGCTGCCTCCCCCTCCTGGTCGAGCCTTCGCCGCTTCTTGCCACGCTTGTGGAGCCCCAGTTGCCGCTCCAGGCGGCGGATCTCCCGCTCCTCCGCCTCGTTGGCTGCCAGCAGGGCTCTTTTGCGAGCCGCGGCCGAAGCGGAGGGAGCTGTCCGGGGCTGCTTGGCCGGCGGCTGGGCCTTCGCCCGCGGCTTCTTTTCTTTTTCTTTTTTTTCTTCTCCCACCGGTGGCGGCGGCGGCGGCGGCGGCGTCCTCTTTTTAACGGAGCCTGCCCGTGAGGGGAGCGGGCTCTCGGCTTCCCCGCTGACGATCGAAAGCCGCCGTCGCCGCCCGCGCTTCAACTTGCGCTTCTCTCTCCTCATTTCTCGACGATTCCTGCGGCCGTTCCAGGCCGGCTGCTGAAGGGACCCGGGGGAGCTGGCACCATCGCCTTCGGGCCCTCCCGCAGCCTCTACGAATTCCCTCACCGCCAGCTCCAGTTTGTGGAGCTTCCCGATCGGCAGCTGCTTCTTTTGCGGAGGCCGCCTTCTTCCGCCTTTCCTCCAGGCGGCTTGGCTGCCCTCAACCGCCGAAGAGGAACGGGCTTCCCGCTTCATGGCCCAGGCCGCGATCGCCTCGGTTACTTGTCACACGTCGCGGCTCATGGGCGCTGCCATCTTGGAAGTGCCCACGCGGGAGGCGGAGTTTGAGTCGCGTGAAAGAAGCCGCGGGCATAGCGCTCTCTGTTGGAACCCTGAAACGTTTGACCCGATACCCTCAATTTTGCGCTTTCTCAAGGAACGCTGGGAAATGTAGTTTAAAAGGCTTCAAGGGGACTGGACTGGACAGGTTCACAACCTGCTCATGGCATCCTTGTGAACCTTATGCAGCTTTGTGATTCCCTCCCCCTATTAGATAGAAACAACGGCTCTTTACCACCTGCTCTGTTTATGTATCTAAAATAACGTTTCTCAGCCTTGGGTGAACTTCACCACCCAGAATTCCCCAGCCAGCATGACTGACTGACTGACCAAAACTGTGTTGTATAAAGATTATGGAGCTGAAGTTCATATAGCTTAAAAATCTCCAAAGTTGAGAAACACTGGTCTAAACTACCGCATAAAAACTAGAAAAGTGTTATGTACCCCCCTTGGGGATGCATATGACCCTCTTAATCAAGAACCCCTGGATTACACTAATTCCTTAGGCAAAAGCTCCCAACAATCATTAGGAAGTGACTAGAAGTTTAGCCATGCAGGCTGCTAATCAGCCAAGCCTGTGAGCCACATAGGGTTCCTATAATATAAAAATTCAGACACCAAAGGAAAGCTTACCTTTTTATTAGCATTTGTTGTTGTTGTTAATTGCAAAGTCGTGTCCGACCCATCACGAACCCATGGACAACGTTCCTCCTGTCCTTCCTGTCCTCTAACATCTTCTGGAGTCCATTTAAGCTCACGCCTACTGCTTCAGTGACTCCATCCAGCCACCTCATTCTCTGTCGTCCCATTCTTCTATTGCCCTCAATCTTTCCCAGCATAAGGCTCTCCTCCAGTGAGTTCTTCCTTCTCATTAGGTGGCCAAAGTACTTGAGTTTCAACTTCAGGATCTGGCTGTTATGTGCTCCTGGCTACTTTCCTTCGTGACCAGAGGCAAGCTCGCCTGACCAATAACCAGCCAAGACACAGTGAAGGCCTTTTGTTTCGTTTATTGCAATAAGCGGGGAGAGAAGCTCAAAGCTTAGTTCTCTCCAAAGTTTTAATCCAAAATATCTCCTTCTTTTATTCATCCCTCTCACCGGCCACTACAGCCCTCCTCTTTCCCCATTGGCTGAGGTAGTATGAGGTTACACTCTTTCCGTCCGCCTATACACATTTCCTGATAACATACTAAATCATATTCACATATACAATAAGAATAAGAAAAAATTAGACATGGAAATGGTTATTTTAAACTCAGATATATTTATGTCCCTATTTTAAACAATAAGTTCTTTTTCTGTTCTCCATTCAACCTTCCTTTCTGGCTAGCCATTTCCTATAAAAAAAACTATCTATTTTATGACTTTCCTCTTCCTTTCTCAGACCCAGCTATTTTTACCTCTATGGTTATCTTACTTCCTTAATGTCTTCCTGACTCTCACCATCTGTATTTTTCTTACTCGTTTCCATTGTATTGTAGGTTTTAACTGACTGAAGATTTATCATATTAATGTATATTTATCATGGCCTTCTAAAGAGCAGTCGGGGTTGATCTCTTCTAGGACTGACTGGTTTGATTGCCTTGCGGTCCAGGGGACTCGCAGGAGTCTTCTCCAGCACCATAGTTCAAAGGCCTCAATTCCTTTGTGCTCAACCTTTCTTATGGTTCAACTTTTTTCTTGTTTTTTACATGTTGAAAGAAGCTTTTTTTGTTATTTTTAACTTTGGTCGCATGCCTTAGTTCATTATGAGCCTTAGCTTTCCTCACTTCATCTTTGCAGGCTCGGACTATTTGCTGATATTCTGACTTAGTTATGTGCCCCTCTTTTCACTTTCTATACTTGTCCTTTTTATCTTTCAATTTATCAGAGAGTTTTTTATGCAGCCATGCTGGTTTCTTTTGAGAGCTGTGATTTTTCCTCTTTGTTGGTATTATGCTAGACTGGGCTTTTATTATCTCACTTTTCAAAATTTCCCAAGCTTCTTGAGTTGTTTTCCCCTTGAGGATTCTCATCCATGGAATCCTTTCCAAGCCCTCTCTAAGTTTATTGAAATTAGCTCTCTTGAAGTCCAAGACTCTAGTTTGACTGTGTTCTATTGCTTGTGCTTCCATAATGTTGAATTCCAATATTGCATGATCACTTCCTCTCAAGGTTTCTGTGGCTTCAACACAGGAGAAGAACCTTTGAAATATTCTGTCAGGTGAGATCTGCCTCCATCCTCTTGGCCTTTTGGAAGGGTCTTAAAATCTGGCTCTGCCGGCTGGCCTGAAGCCCCAATTGGGGGCTCTACACTAGGGGTGGCTGATGGGGTAGCGAGAAAACCCTAACCTGATGCTGCCTGTCCTCTTGGTTTTTAGTTTCTATTTAATACTGAAAATACTTATTTTTGTTACCTATTTACCTTTTTATCATTTTGTAACTTGCCTAGAATCACTTCCATGAGATTAGTGGCATATAAATTTAATAGATAAGTAAATAATATGCAGAGCTATTGAAAAATTCCAGAGCTCAGTTCCTTGGTGATCAAGATGTCACATTAAGCCCCAATATTTTGCACTGCAAAAACTCAGTTCATGTGAACTGGGTTTATTGGGCATTGCATTCTCATGTGTTTGAGCTCTCGGGAGAGGTTGGGAGATTAACTAAGTTTTCTCGCTTCCTTGTTCTAATTTTGACCTCCAAGATAATGGCCTAAAGATGAAATGGAAACAGGATGATGTCTAGCCAGTTTTCAGTCATCACGCTGGTAACTGCCAACAAGGAATCTAGTTGCCAGCTGCCTTATTTGCATCCACCATAGTGCTGAGCCTGGAGTGGACGCAGTGTCCTCGGGCTTGTGTCCCAAAGTTGTCATTTCTTGTCCTTCTGAACGCTGAATGTTTGTATCCTGCTCTGGCTACAAAACTTTAATAACTCATTAATTTTTAGAAGATGGTTTGTTAGCATCTGTGCCTTTCTCCTTTTTCAGTCATTACATCATGTATCTGAGGTGGCAGGCGCACTGAACAAATAGCTTTTCAGTTCCAAGACCAAATCCTTTATACCTAATGAATATTTCTCATTTATTGGCACAAAAGGTTCTGCTGATCTTTCAAAGTATTCAGACATCATATTTATAACTTTTTTTTTTAAAGAGCACTTTCCTCATACAGAATTCCCCATGCCTATCTGGAGTTATAGAGTTACATGTGGTGCTGTTTGCTTCCTTCCTTGCTATGCAGCCCATTTTAGGGATTTGAATCCAGAGCACTACCTAGCACAGGGGTAAGCAACCTTGGCTCTTTTATGACTGGTGGACTTCAACTCCCAGAATTCCTAAGCCAGCCATGCTGAGGGGAAAGGGAGAGTTTCCAAGCTGAGTCATGCTGGCCCAAGAATTCTGGGCCAGCATGAGGCAAATTTTTGGCCCTTTATAACTCGTGGACTTCAACTCCCAAAATTCCTGAGCCAGCATGGCTCAGCTTGGAAACCTCTTCCTTTCCCCTCAGCATGGCTGACTCAGGGATTCTGGGAGTTGAAGTCCACGAGTCATTTATTTATTTATTTATTTATTTATTTTATGAGACTTATATACCGCTTTAAGTGCAAGCACTCTCTAAGCGGTGTACACCAGTAAGCAATGTATATATATATTTACATTGCCCCCAACAATCTGGGTCCTCATTTTACCTACCCCGGAAGGATGGAAGGCTGAGTCAACCTTGAGCCGGTGAGATTTGAACCGCTGACCTGCTGAACACAGTCAGCTAAAGTGGCCTGCAGTACTGCACTCTAACTGCTGCGCCACCTCGGCTCCTACCCCTGACCTAGCATTTGCTAGGTTGGCAGGAACTGGGGTAAGAATGGGAGCTCACCCCATTGTGTGGCGTTCAGGTCTCAAATCTGGGCTGCCAGTTTTCCAGCTGACAAGCCCAGTGTCTTAACCACTGAGCCACTGTGCCATCCTAGTTGGCAATGACTAGCGGAGCAAAATCTGCAGGGACTCCTTTATCTTTAATTTACCTAGCATTTTAAGGTTTATGATACCCATTTTTTCAGCTTCAAATTAATTTCTGTTCCTCCAGGGAGATTGGGCAGAGTGGGTATGCATTGGGTGCCATTAATTTCAGTTTCATTTAATGAGATCCAGGAAGTACAGGAGCTTCAACTTACAATCATTTGTTTAACCATTCGAAGTTACAATAGCACTAAAGAAGTGACTTATGACTGATCCTCAGACTTAACGACCATTGCAGCATCCCCATGGTCATGTGATCAAGATTTGGGTGCTTGGCAACTGGCATGTATCTAATGGTTGTGGTGTCATGGGGTCATGTGATCACCTTTTGCAACCTTCCCAACTGGCTTCCAACAAGCAAAGACAATGGAAGAAGCTGGCTGCATTAAACAACCACATGATTCACTTAACAATGGCAAAAAGCTTATAACATTGGATGTGACTCTCTTAACAATCATCTTGCTTAACAACAGAAATTCTGGCCTCAAGTGTGGCCATAAGAACTGTAAGCCATCAAGAATCACCAGCCTGTATATCAAAGATCTTCAAACTTGGCTCTTTTATGACTTGTGGACTTCAACTCCCAGAATTCCTTAGCCAGCCATGCTGGCTGAGGAATTCTGGGAGTTGAAGTCCATGAGTCATAAAAGGGTTGAGTTTGAAGACCCCTGCTGTAAATTGTTTAAATAAGCAAATAAATATGGGGAGAAAAACGTCACTACTTTGTCAAAAGTGATTCTATAAAGGTCTTCAGAACTAAAGGTTGCCATCCCTGTCACAGTTCCATTGAACTCAATGGGATTTAATTTAGTATATAAAATAATCTTTTAGAGAAGAGTAAGGAAATATGCAATCTCATGCAGATTGATAATGATAACTACATTTTTTAAAAAAATACAGCTTAGTTCTTTATAGTAAGCTGAGCGCCAATACCTAAATACATATTTGTGGCTCTCTTTTGGACACTCTAAGCCATTAATAGCCCAACTTCATGGACGGAATTAGCATGAATGGGGAA